GTAGATGGCACTATTGAATATTGACGCACCTGCGCGAAGACTCATATTATATAATCTAAATTTAGGTCCGGGAAAGTACAGTACATACATGTATGTATGTAAATATTGTATAGGTATTATGTACAGTGCACAATACCTAAAGTTTAAGATACGTCTAGTTATATAGGTAAGTACCTAAACCTTAGAAGCTCTTTGCCTTACGAAAATGACCCACAAGAGCTTCACTTAATCCCCATAGGCCAAACCGACCAACGGGGATTATGCCATCCCTATCTCCACGAGCTGCCGACGTTAAACAAAGCAAACCACATGGGGCCCCATCCATTCTTTTTTAGGGCAATCAAAATCGTTTAACCTAGTCGAGATCAATTGATACGAATTGTCGAGTCAAGCAACACGGAATGATACGGAAACAAGCCACCTTGGTATGCTTCTTCGTGACTAGCGATAATTTCTCCATTCCATTGGCCCGGTTAATCGGTCCATACCGTGCTATTTTATCACCTGCAGAAAAACCTGTGGGAAAGGCATTCAACACTATGTACCTATGTAGGTAGGCCTGGTAGGCCTGGTAGGTATGCTGCAATGCACGCAGAGCCAATTGCCAGCCACCGCTTCCCGATCCAATTCGAGCCGGTTATTCGCTCCTCGTGCGTCCTAAAGACTGCATCTAACAACGTGCTCAGGGGTAGCTTGTGTAGCAGTCTAACATGTTTTGGTTTGCAAAATGGAGGCTTAAGGGTAGCTGGGTAAGCAGGTAGGCTACCTTAGGTATTTACGAAACTAATACTGACTTCTCGGTGTGGTCCCATTCGTCATCTCATAGGTGGTGTCCCTTGCTAATGAAGCTTCAAGCGTCATTCACCGCTCTATAATTAGAGCAACGGCCGGGTACTATGTACGTAGATAGTGCTCATAAAACGGGAGGACCAGTCAGCGGCACCGACCGTTGAGCAGGGATAATCAATATCTGTTGTGCTTTCATTTTCTAACCATGTTTAGTTGTAATTGCATACAGCTTGCACATGTCGCAATTCGGCTACTGTTACCCTACGAGCTTGGATAATAACATAAAATGACCGGTCAGAACTCGAGATATGAGAGATCGCTCAAGGAGTACTTACCTATATATTAGGAATAACTACATACCTCATATATTTACGTTAGGTATACCTACATTGCAGGTAATAAGTCTGAAGTCTCGATAATTCGTTAGCTAAAGTTTTGTCTTTTCAGGCTTCGTCACTGACGACTATTACATACGATATACATACGGAATACCCCTATCTTGCATCCCATTACTACATGACAACCTACTATTATACCTTCATTATCATAAAGCGATAATATTATGTGTCAGCAGCAACACTCTTAATGGTCGAGCCACAAACCATGGCGGGGCCTCCGTACACGACAACATTATTTTGCATTCTTTGCTCTCTGCGGTGAAATAGTTTTCAAAGACTTACCTATGTTTCTATCCAATCATGAGAAGCCTTTTGGCTATCGCTGACTTAGTGAGCGGAGATCTAGTTTATAATCAAGCTAGGTATTCAGCTGGTTAATTCCACCGGGTATGTCTCCAACTGGTCACCGCCAGCTTCTCACCTCTTGCAGATGACACTACATATCACTCCTTCTCTCGTCAGACACCTCCCTGCCCACGTGTTTGATGTGCCGCGGAAGGGCGCTTACTTGACGTAAGTCAGACACGCATTCGGTGTCGGAGCCCTATGCTTCGGTCATTAAGCGAGTGGCTGAGATATCCTTCGGTGTATTCCGGACTAGACAAGGCCCAAAAACCAATGGCACCAAATAATCAATTTCTTAAGCCTCATATTCATTAGACTCCCTATCATAAAGCTGATTAAGCACTCCTTGAATCTCACCGAGGATAGAATGTTCCATATACTCTCCCAACAACGCTTTATACTAACGTTATCTTAGTCTAACATGGTTTAGCCCCCATTCCCTCTCTCTCTTGAGATCAATATGTATACACAATATCCGTGCGTAAGCCATGGTTGTGTTCCGTTATTCCTCATAGTGTATTAGAGGATAGATACCAAGGCCAACTAATCTAGAACCGCTGCCTTAAACACGAGGTCTTGTTTCATAAGAATTTGTAGAAAGGAGATACATGATACTCCAGGTTTATGCTAGCATAGCCTTACTGCAGGGCATTCGAAACTTCTACATTCCTTCCAGAACATGTTCATGCGACCCACGTTCTTCCGAGGACTCCTTTTTCTTTATTCTTCCCTAATCCCGACTCCTATGGTGTTTTCGTACTGTACTTATCTCCTCTTACGTCAGTCTGATTCTCATTCCGAAAAGGAAATCCTTCGGCTGACCAGGAACTACACTGACTACAGGCATCACACGTGGCATCTCCCGTCTGTGCTTTGATTTAGCAGGGTCCTCAACCATGGCGCCGACCACGTGTCGTCCGATTCAGCCTGGGTGTTTTGATTAATAAGGCTTGTTATCAAGACGTAAAGCTTTGATACCGTCTACCCAGTTGTTGGGATACGAAATATATACGAGAATAAGAGCTGGTTCCGAGGAACATATAAATATAGTAGTAAGCCTAGCTAGAATGGGCTCATCTGAACTAGTATAGAAGCAACTACCCATGTATAGGTTTGGTTCTACCACTATCCAATTCCATCATTACCACAGGAACTCAACTTCACGGATAGATTTGTTCAAGTTCCAAAACCGCGTCTCTCTAGTTTCGCCGTTTACTACCCGTCTTATGTTACACAGGTATTTGTCCCATCATGCGGGCGCGAGACGGGTCGATCGCAATCTCAATTCGGGATCATTGGGTGGATATATTAAGACAAGCATCGCGATTCTAGTATGGGTAAGGGGGCCTGGGCATCGTGAACCCCAACCTCGTCCTTCCCCCATAGCACGCGAACCGCGTCGGAAACGCGCCCAACCACCGACGGCTGGGAGCAAGCAAGCAAGGAACGGCCAAGACGATAGTCTTTTTTTTCCCCTTATCCTCACTCTCTCCACCTTATTCCCCAGTCGCCTTTCGCGAAACTTGGCTCGACGACTTTCCCTCGCATGACAGCCTCGCATTTCCTCGGAGCTGCGGCGGCGAACCCGAAGACGACGCCTCTGCGCGCGGCATTGCGGACCATTTCCCGCTGCTGCGCTTTGCGCTGCCCTTCGAGCCTCCGTTTCGCGTTTTCTTCCGTCTCCTCGCTCCGCTCCGCTCGTCCCTTTTCTCCGCCTACGCTACCGTTGACTTGCGACACCATCTGCGGCGGTCGGATCCGAGTCCCGCTTCGTACTGCCATGCGCGCTAGGACGTCACCGTCTATCGATGGCTCGTCTTCGTTATCGTTGAGGCCTACGGCGCTGTCGCCGTCTTCTAGTGCTTCTCCTATGGTAGCGGTGCCATCCCCTTCCGTCCCGTCGTCGGAGGTCGCTGGGAGAGCTCTCGAGACACGGTTCTTCCTTCGTCCGAACTTCTTGTCCGGGTCCGCATGATCCCCGAACATGGTCTTCTCTACTTCATCGCAGGAGACAATGACGCGCGGATCACCTTTAACCATGCGCTTTTTCGCCTTCCCATCCTGTCGAACTTGACTAGCACCGTCACCGTTTCCGCCGGAGAGCATGCGTACGAACGTGGCTTCGATCTCGCGATCCAGTTTCCGGGGCTTGGTGTTGCGACAGCGCTGGGAGCAGTAACTCGGCACGTTGCTGTTAGAATCGTGCGCCGCTGCGGTGTTTGCGCGGCGTGAGCTTATAACTCGGCCGCACGAGCGGCAGTAGGGAGTTGACTCGCCCCCTGGAAGAAGATAGTATGGCGCCGGTGTTGCTTGCGACTTTCCGGGCCGCGACCACGAACCCATCCAGCTCATTGTGATGGGAGATAACCAAATGGTATGTGAGTTGAGTAAAGAGAGGTAAGGCCGTAGGTTATGTCTCTTAGATATATTTACGAGACAAAGCATAGATTATACAAGATAGGGTCTCGAGACGCTCGTATGACAGCAAGTAGAAGTTCCCTGGGCAAAGGCTTATAATTTGTTTTCCAGCCTTCTATTGAACTGTTAACTGTTAATTTGTTGTCTAAGACTGGACATCTTTGATGGATATTATTCGATTAACCTCCAGTCCAAATCATATAAGTGCTACAAATACCCTCGAGTAATGACGTCACTTGCTAGACAGGAACGCACAGAAGCTCTAGATCAAGGGTACTGAAGTGGGTATTTTATCCTCATTGTAAAATGGTCGATAATCTTATGTACTCGTAGTTAAAGAGATGTACTAGGCCAACATTTAGCTTAAGATGAATATCTATCATATAGGTAAATTATTAAGTTCGTTTAATGCTCTATAGACATTCTAAGGTTGGGAATTATCTACTATATATCAGTCCTCACTAGACTTATACGGCCATCTATAAACAACTAGACCCAGAAGCCTAAATAGACTTAAACGCTCCTGGCTTGTTGCTCCTATACAGAATTCCCAAGACGGGTATATAATACTTCAAGCAGCAAGAAACATTGGTAAACAACAATGAGGGCATAAGCTATCTGAATAATCTCATACAAGACATCATCGACGCTCACGGTATGCAGACCCAAGTCTGAGCAAACCCGCAACCTCGTAGTGTATCCCATTGTTATTACAATAGTTAAAAAAAAAACTTCAATAAGGCGGAGTCCAGTATTCCGCTCGACTCGACTCGACTTATCCAAACTCGCATATCCAAACATACATCGGCAACTCGTATCATCGCTATACGCCTCCGAAGGCCACAAAAAAACACAACCTGCCTACCCATCCCAGATCCCCACCCCGTGTAGGGACAACACATCCCTCCTAGTATCGAAAAAAAAAAAGTTTTTAAAAAAAAAGCCGAAAAGAAAAGGGGTATACGTCGAGTGAGTAAGTAAGTAATATATCGATAATCGTACCGTGCCAACCATATATCATATCATTAATATTTTCGCCGTCGATAACGGTTTATATCATTTTTTTTTACGTGTCCGGATAAATAGAACCGCAGTCGCGCGGTATCATCGTGATCTATGACCCACCCACCCATTTATTCTCCTCGCCGTTAACTTCCTATTTCTCGGCATTGGTGCGATGTATACGTACTAAAGAGAAACTAGCAGCTCTCCTACACTAGGTGTAGATAGTGTGAAAGGGCCCCCCTTGCGGAGAAAGTCAAATAGTGTAATCATGGCTCGAGGAATGAGGTTAGTTAGTTAGATAGATAGGCGCGCACTAGTAAACGCCCGCTCTGCTAGGGACGGGCGGAGTCTCGCTAGTAGGAGTGACTGAGCCGAGAGACCCAAATTTACGGTCCGTGTTTTTTCGAAGAGAAAGTTGGAATCGCGGTTTCTTCTCCCAGCTGTTGATGCTAGCAGTGTCTCCGGGCTGAACTGTCCTGATCGAACTTGGGTCGAGGTGGGACTGTGGGAAGATTCCCCAGCCCTTTGACGTTGTGCCGGACCGGCACCAGTGATCGGTGTAAGCCCCTGGTGAAAGTAATGTGTTAGTTTCTGGTTTCTACAGCTCGGATAAGCTGCGAAGCTGCTTGAAGTAGCTCGGCCACCACCATAGTATGAACAAATAGATAGGAACTTACAACCAATGTTCTTAATGACATCTCCCTTGTCAAATTTCAGCCACCTATCATCACCGTTCTTCTGATTCCACTTCCATCGTGCTACAGCTTGGACGTTACTTGTACCCTGCATTTTGATCTCGGTCTTCGGCGGTGCATCGATCTGTACAGAGTCGGCTTCGAATGCCGCACGCACACCGTCGTGCCAGCCGATACCCCATTTACCTTCGTACTTGACCGGGAACTCGATACCGATTATCCTAGCTCCGATAGCAAAGTGCAGGACCGGATCTCTGCCAGGCGGTGAGCGCATAACCCCGTTCTGTATTTTCCTCGTTTCCGTCGCAATGGCAGAAGGTAATCTAGAGAGCTCTCGCGAGAGTCCGACCATGACGGAGAGCATTGGCGGATGTGGTAAGTGAAGATCAAAGTTGTCCCTAAAGGCCGGTGGTATCTCCGGCGCTTCGACTACCGTTAGGCCAGGGATGACGGGGAGTGGACGAGGATGTCGTGCCAGATGAGCGAATAATTGGCTCTGGTTAAAGAAAACCGTAGCATCGCTCTCTTCGACAGTCTTGCCTTCTTGAATACAGAACAAGCATCCGTAAAGCTGTTCTTCTACATGTCGAATTTGCAGATGACTCTTTTGGAGTATACGTAGTCGAAACCCGATGGAATTGGACGTAAAACTTCCGGAGGCTGGGTAATATGTGAGACGGAGTTCATATATAAATATATATAGGGAAGATAGATCTTACAGTCGTTATTCAAGTCTTGCTCGACCGACTTAAAGTCGATCTCGAATAAACAGTGATTGCACTTTGCTACAACGGCCATTGAAAAGCCCTATCTCCTCTGTCAATACTGCTCGCGGGATCAATGTGACGTATACAAACCATATCATGACTTACACCAACGGGCCGTTTGATTTTCTTGAAGCCGAGCCGACCAGCCATGACCTCTTCTGCGCCCTTGCAAAACCCTTTGAGCTTGTAGAAAGAGCTATACGGACCTATCGAACAGTCCGCTTCTCGCGCGGGGATGGGCTGCTCGTCCGGCATCGGGTTTTCTGCGTCGACCGGGATCAGGCCCGAATCTACGTTACCTGGGATCTGGGTGCTGGGGCGACGGGCCATAAGCGTGGACGATGAGTGGTTAGTAATGGTTCCCATGCTGGAGGATATGCTGCCGTTCGTCGCTGCGCGTTGATAAATAGGCGGCAGTCCGGTATACTCTGGCGGTTGCTGCCCCGGACTAAGAGGCTCGACTGATAAGACCGAATTTCGATGTGCAGTAGAAGCGGCAGCAGTGGTAGGGCTCATGCAATCGACTATATCGAAAACTGAGCTGTTGATTGACTCAGTCGAGGGGTGGCGAGTGGTACGACGAGGACCCCTCTCCTGAGCTCTCTCTTGGGCTCTTTCCTGGGCTCTTTCTTGGGCTCTGGCTAAAGAAGTCTGCCTCGGGGGAAAGCTAGGGATAGGTGGAAGGGCTGCCTTTGGGCCCTGGGTATTAATAGCAATGTTCTCAGGGATAGAAGGGGTACGGCCAAGCACGGAAGATGTATCCGAAGGTGACCGGCTAGACGACGGATCAAGGAGTTGTCCAGGCCAACTGGCAGAACCCTCGTTAGAAGGTGATCGACTAGCAGACGTAAAGCCGCTATGGGATCTATATGTTGAACCCTGCGTAGAGTTAGTCCAACGATTCCTCTTCCTAGGAGACTGAGATCCGTCGCTAGTCGTCGCTTGGCTCTGTGAAGCCGCGCGCATTCGGCCGTCTTCGACGTCCCTTTGAGTTAGGCTGAGAGAGTCGTCGGTTTTGCTACGAATGCGCAGGGGGCCGGCGTGGCTACCGAGGGGACTAACCGGTTGTGCTGGAGGGATGGTCGGGGAGTCGTTGGGGACGGGGGGGCGACGTTCCCATCGGTCTCCCTCAACCGAAAGATCCACGGGACTGACAGGCGGGGCCGTTCCGACCTGCCACGGATCGGCCGAGGGCGGTCTTGGCGGATGTTCCGAGGTGGCATCGGATACTTCAGAGCGGTACGAGTTGCTTCTTCGGTCGAGGTCGCTTACCGATCGCGGGGGTAGATTCGCCTCCAGGCCTTCGTCGGGGCCAGCCACCGCTCCCATCATGCTGCTTAATTGCAGCTCTGTCTCTTCCATCAGTTTCTCTGTCGACATGGCCGCTGGAGGGTTGACGATAATACTTGTCGATGGCATTTGCCTATAGTGTAAGTTATTTACGTGGTCAGGGGCTGCCGACGGTGCCCTACTCCTTGGGGATGGAGACCGTAATATTGTTGGTGCGGGAGCAACCAGTTTCATCCGCTTGAGGATATCCATGATCTTCGGTGCAGCTCTTCTCGAAGCTTTTTGCAACTCATCGAACTTGGTGGGATCGAAGTCGTCGGGCTCGACATAGTCGTCGAAATCCCATAACAAGTCCTCCAGTTCGGATCGAAACTGCGCGATTTCGTCTATTGCGCACGAATAGATTCGTCAACTTATAATTCCCGATTGGCCTATTATAATTCTTAGACAAATAAATCTTACCGTTCTCCTTGATCGCATCAACAAAGTTAACGCCATACTCTTCAAAGTTCTTAGTGCAAAGCGGCTCGATCCGCTTCAGCGCCCGTTCGCCTTCTCTAACTAGGTTTTGTGCTGCCTTGAGCATAAGCGGTGACGTTTCTTGGTCAGCATTTGGCACATTTTCAATCGCTGCGTTGCCCTTTTCTACAATCTCCCTAAAAGGCGCGATCGCGAGCCGCTCGACTTCGTCCGTCATGATGGGCTAATAGGCTAATAGTATAGGTTAGACAATTGAGAGCGTATACCGTCTAACGCACACGGCGATATCTATTAATCGTCGTGGAGAGTCGGGGAGCTCCAAATTTACTATGTAGTAACTAGGATGAAGGTATGGATGGGAGTGGAGCAGCGAGCCGGCAGACTGGATGTCTCGCGACTCGGCCTTCACAGTAGTTTTACATCAAGGTTGCGCAACAACGTTTGGCGGAGACGGTAACACATAATGCGAGATGAGAAAGGGAAAAAGGAGACAGGAGACAGGAGACAGGAAAGAAAAATGAGATATCAGATGTAGAAGTTCACCCCGCGGCACAGGGAAGGCTGAACATTACCAGTTGGAATGGCGACCCCCGAATTCGCTAGAGTCTGCAGCGATAGCTTACATCCACAGTATCATCGATTGCCCGGGGGCATAACGGAACTATCAAGGGTCGAGTGGCGTCTTTGGCCAATGCAGAACAGACCAGTACATGGTAGGTCATGGACCCCTGCTCAAGGGTGTCAGGGTATTAGGGTATCAGGGTATCTAAACTCCATGATACTATGTAAGTTAGTTAACAGGTAGTTAGTTAGTTAGTACTAAATAGTATGCAAGTTAGGTACTCTATGTACTCCATACCCGCGTAGGCATATCCAAGTCTAGCGTCACCGCCTGTCAAGCCTCTGATTGGACTCTAGGGGGTTATGGTGCGTCCAGTATCACCCCCAGCAGTTCGAACACTGACAGGGGCGGTGCACACGTTCCACTGGCCGGCACCTTAGCGCTCCCCTACCATTCCCTACTACTCTACTATTAGCATCCACAGTGAAGACCTCTCGGTTGCGAATCTAATGTCTTAGAGGACCCCTGTTACGATCACTATCACAATCTAGGTATATAGTATGTCTAGGACGAATGGGACGCACTAGCTTTGATAGGAGACGTCGAGACTCCAAATTATTAGATACTAACGGTTGAGAAACCGAAAGAAGGGCTTTAATTCCGTAGGCTTCAAAGCGTATTCCGTACACAGTACCAGATTCAGCCGTTGAGGCGGTGCTACATACACTATGCGGAACTGCCACGTAGTAATGCCATAACACCGGCCATGACATATGGCATTAGGAACATTAGGAGTTATTATGTACTATGATAATCGAAATCTCTCAAGTCCAACGGAACGATCTTCAGACCACAGTGTCACCTACTTCAACAGTATGTACTCTCCGGCAGTCTCCCATTACTAACCCAGCAGTTTGTTCGGGTTGGGGTAAAAGAGCGGGATGAACGGACTCTACCTCGGCCAAACTCGACCAATAAGCAGACAATCCCAAGGATTGTCGATCGCTTTTTAATTTTTATATATATCAATTCTCCATAACAGAGTCCGGGGAGGTAAGCATCTAAACAATTGACAGGTAATTGACACCTTGTTGATTCCAGGAGACTGGAAATGAGTTGCGTGTACCTGAGGATAGATGCATAAAGACTGGTTGACGAGATAACATAGGGCGGAAGGCTTCGCGATGGATCTGAGTCAACCCACCATCGGCAAATGCATCTCCACCGAATCATGTACCCTTCGGACGAATCAAGGACCTCGGCCTATCGCGAAGGAAGGTTTCTTTGCTGACTGGCTACCTTACCGTACACATTTCCTTCCCTGAGCTCATCCCTCCGACGGCGATCCAAGGCTACCCAAGCCTGCCCACGTTACGCTGTAGAGATATGAGACATGCATCACGCATTGATAAAGGATCGAACCTAGATTGTTCGCATCATACCTATACGAATACAGTATACCATTAATAGCACTTTGTTTTAGCTCTACGTCATGGTATATACTATGTACGTCTTAAGAAGGTGAAATAGTGGTTCTCGTTGGGAAATTATATTCCTAACATTAACGATACCTCTTTAATCCTCGTCGACAAGGACACGTAGAAAGAGGTAAGAGAGAAGACGAAAGTAGTCATAGTAGACGAGAGAATACCTAGTCTCAATCCCAATTCTCAATCCCCATTTTCATCCCACCTAGTCAGTGACCTAGTCAGTGGGGGGGGACTTTCACCCCGGACATGCAGCTGATAAATAGTGCGTGCGTATGTACGTGCGAGCTGGCCTTTAGGTACATTGCTTCGTCTTGGCATCAGGGCTGATGTATGTACAGAAGACTTCCAGGCAGCTGGGATAAGGCAGAGTATATGTATGCGGCCCGGAAGCCTGGAGAAAGTTGTTCGGTATCAGGGGAGGCATTCAACGAGGCAGATTCTACAAAAACCTACTCTTTATCCAGTTCGCGATCATTCAATTATAAAATAACCTCGTAGGATTCAAAGGCGCCAGACAAAACTACCTTAGTGCTATGTTTGCCTACCTGCTGAGCGATGCGGCTGAGATAATTGTTACCATTACCGCCGTCCACATTCTCGGTATCGAAGAGCATGAGCCGGAAAGATTCAGCATGGTCCCAGCAAACGCAGACATTATTTTTTTTTTTACTGCTTAGAAATTTAGCAAGCAAGCTTCTCGAAGACGTCAAACATTGACGAGTTTGCCAGTCCTCGCGGTAATATTCGCTTGGCATCATGTACTGTATCACCAACCCTCCTCCACTTGTTCTCGAGACTTTCCGAGGACTCGTCGGTGCGCTTCTGTATTTTACCCGACATTGGACGCAACCTACCTACCTACCTAGGTACATACCTTACAGCCATAGCTCACGTGCGCCTATTGAGGCTCAACGCGAATTGGTCCCCCTGAGTAACATGAGCTAGGTTATGCGATGGTGTCATTGGGGTAGGATAGAGTAGATCGACAACAACCTTCCAAAATTCGGTTCCCAAGACCCTGATGTCTTGGAGCATCTCGTACCTAACCGAATGATAGGTACCAATAACCAAAAACAGACCACGGAGAGTTTGTTCACCTTGTAGAGTTGTACTTGTACTGGTAGACTACATAGAATCCTTCAATGGAGCCATCCGGCTAACATAGTCGGATCCCCACCGATTGTTCCCACCTAAGACTACCTTACCTGCTTGCTTGGGTCTGTCCGTTCAGGGGTCAGACATGTCTTATCCTATCGTCTTCACCTTGACGGGTTCACATGCTAACATGGTCAAGTCCCTCTTACATACCTAGCAGTATTATGTATGCTCGCGCAATTAAGGTGACCACTCTTTGATGACCAGGTCTCCCCTCTCGTTGATACCACCGTAGTATTCGCGAGTCCTTAGCTTCTATAATGTAGCTGCCCCTTGCATTTGTTTTCGCAGATATGGTGGAGATTATCGAGTCCACTCGGGTGAATTCAACGTAACATGCATTACATCGCTTCTATGATAATGTATGTATGTGTGCTGCCTTTTTAAGTTGTCACCAACAACGTATAAGTCTGTCTCGTGCTACTTCGGAGGACGCCGACAGCTTGCTAATGCGATAGTCCTAAGTTATATAATGACGGTGACTTATACTACGCTGATTGTTGACTACGCTACGATTAGGTGAAGGAGACGCGATTGGAATTATTGTGTATTACAAGGACTCCCTAGGTTACAACAAATCAAATTAGATTAAATGGATAACATAGTGAACGCCGTCACCACCAATCAGGAACTCTAGATAGTTGGTGGTAAATAACTCCGATATTTACTAGCATCTAATACGTCGTGAGAGTGGCATATGTTTAGTATGTCCCACTTGATGAGCAGGAGAGCAAACAAAGATTTAGTAGAAGTGTAAACGACGTCATTTATAAGCGCAGCTGAGAACTTCAGATATCACGATAGAAGACTCATATGATACGATGTGTAATTCACCCTTCACCTGAGCCCTATGAGTAACTACCTGCCTTACACGGCAGTAATAACTGCTAATGACTGCTAATAACTGCTAATAACTGCCAATGAACTCGGGGACACGAAACTCTCTTATAGGTCACAAACAAACTTTATGCATCAGTCACTGCTATTATCTGTCATATTCATCATATGCTCAAGAAAAGGGGAGAGCAATTTTAGGCTACAAACCTCAATCGGCATATCCTAATTACCTACCTCATACGTCTTTATATAATATATAATATATTGCTTATTCCCAACGCCGCCGCACCTATATAAGAACGTCAGCTACCTATAACACACCACCCAAAAAAAAAAAAAAAACTCAACAAGTAACATCACAACGACGCAATCGGAAAATGTCCGAGACAATCCGTCTCCCCCACAAACCCGACGCCCCGCTGTCTTACCAATTCGTGCCGGGACAGGGCCCCTTGTCAACCACCCATCTCGTCGTCTACCTCAACGGACTCATCGCCCCCCAGTCCGGCTGGCATGCAACTATAGAGGATCTTCAACGACTATGGGATGAAAGCAGCCGCAGCACTAATCACCCACCGCTACTTACCTACGACCGCTACGGCCAGGGTGAGTCCGCGCGCGATCCTGCCGATGACCAGCACGGCGGGAGCCACGACATCTGCGAGGTCGTCGCAGACCTGCACATCCTAGCGCAAGAGATTTGGCGCACCAAGATAAAGGATGTTCCGAATGAAGATGGAGCGGACCAAGTGCCGAAGTTAATCTTCGTCGCCAACAGCATCGGCTGCGTCATTGGACGTTTCTACGCCGAGACGTATCCGGGCTCTACGGCGGCACTACTATTCCTCGACAGCAACATCGCTAACAGCGACCTAGTATCGCTCTTCCCGGACCCGGACGCATCAGGCTTCGACCCGGCTACACTCCCCACGGACTCGACAGTCGCGGACCTGCGCCGCACGCGCGCGGGCTATGCCGCGCACTTCCAGCCATCGGCGCCGAACCCGGAGCACCTAGACCGGCGAAACATCATGTCGCTACTGCCGCTTTCTGACGCGCCGCCGCTGCAGGGGCCAGACGAAGGGATGGGGCCGTGGATCACAGTTGTAGGGCACGACTGGGAGACCTTTGCCGAGGAGGGCTTGCGGGGGTCCATGAACGTGCCCAAGGGTCTGACGAACGCGTACATGAACCCGCCCTGGGCCGACTACAACGAGGGGCTCACGCACCTGACGGATGCGGAGAGAGTCCGGGGTCCAGTGATAGCGACGGGTTGTGGCCATTTCATACAGAAGGATGACCCGGCGCTGGTTGCGGAGCTTACGGATGACTTGATACAGAAGATCGAGGCGAATGGAGCGATATAGGGGTAGGAGGGGTGGAATTCGAGGGCTGCCTACCTGCCTAGGTTACCTACCTTTTGCTCTTGCGTAAGTATGTATGTGTGTACATGATACATAGGTAGGTAGCTTCACGAGCACCGCGATGAGTTGATGACTTGCCATTTCGGCCATTATACCTGATAGTAGCAGATAGACTATAGATACGAAGCGACGTCGATTTCACGGGTTATCTCCCTGCCAAAACCCATCTTCTTCTTCATGCGACGTGTATTTGGCTTCCGTTTCCTGCACGGAAACTCTTTGCGAGCAACGTTTCTACATAGTTACAACAGTCAGTCGAAAGGAAAACAGTTACCTCCAAGCCAACTATCTAGGTTATGTAGGCACCTAACCTACCTATCTACCACCGAGTCCCTACAAACCAAAAGCGCATGATAGAAACAGCCGTTTTCAGCACCCCGTCCATAAGTCAAGTTACAACGTTGCGCGTCGCGTAGGTAGTATTGTAGCGCGAAGCGGCTCCCCATTGGGCTGAGCTTTGATCCTATTCTTAGAACGGCACCATACCACAAGCGTGCGTAGGTAGTAAATTAGGTACCTAGTTATTGTCCTTATTTCCGAATGCACCGTGATGTGACTACTACGGCTCGGAAATGACAACGCTCGATGCTAGGTTCGTGATTATGAGCGGGTCGAGCATCCGCTCGCGAAAGATGCGATTCCGAGCTGACGAGTGGAAATGCCTGCGGCTGTTACATTGACTTCCCCTGTGTTTTAGCAACCCATCGGTACCCCATGGGAGAAGTTGGAGAGACTCTTCCTCACAGCTATTATGCTAGCTGAAGCTAGGCAGGCGCGTCATTTTGGATATGTGTAACCGGTCGTACTAAAGTCGATACTATACTCATGCTAGGGGAAAATAGGGGTTGCTCGCTTCAAGTTTCTGTTTCTGTTTCTGTATGAAGCTCTAGAAGACCCATGCATGTCAAGGGGGATTATAGATATGGATATATTCCTATCCAGAGAAGATAACTCTCGATACAGCTAGCAATCTGAATCGTTAATATATCTGAATACTAAGACCTACCTCCCGTTTTCAAACTATGTTGACACGGCGTTTCTTACCCATATTGCTTGAGGTAGTTTCGCTATTACCATCTTACTAGCACGGATGAGACTGCAACGGGCCGCTGAGCAATGTGCAAGGTATAGCGATGTCAGCTCGCTAGTCTACCCCGGGGACACTATGCTTAAGAGGTAGGTAGAGGCTAGTAGTGATCGGCCCCTATAGCCTTCCTAATTACGGCAAATCTTTCCTATACAGGCTCCTCTCTGGGGTAGAACCCCTCCTTCACAAAACGTTAACTAGTATGGAAGCGTATACTAACTACAAATAGTGTAGTAGGTCGTGCGAGCTAAGAAGTCGAGTGGTAGCGATTCGAGAGCTATGAGACCTTAAGGGTAGCTATAAGTCATGCCGGCGGCTTGATAACTTTCCGGGAACTACTAGTGCAAGCTTGTCCATGAGAAGATTCGGCAAGGAATTTCCTACAACGGTAACAAGACCGCTACTGCTGAGCGTCACATGGCGAACGTTGTTATTATATACACGCACATCCTTTACCTAAACGTCCTGCTGAGCTCACCACCGAATGGCGCCGTGGAGACCCCGAACACTGACCATTCGCGGAGGTGGTAGGCCGAGAAGCGCATATCATGCGAACTCCGCCACTATCATGCACTTAGATCTTGCAGGTGTCCCCAAGGGCCTACTTACAGGTAGAATGTTGATGTTACTCTGAAGCTTCTGCGGGCGGACGAAAGTAGATGATGTTAGACCAAACTCGGGGTACATAAACTAATTCTTAAGAATAGGAGGCGGGGAGTGATCTTGGTAATGGATAGTAGTACAAAACCATGCAGATGATTATGGGTGCTGTTCTGGAGTTTTTGGGGATCTATTAACAGTCCGCCGAGACTCTTTCTTCACCTGAGTTTTTCTCCTAGACGAGGATTTCCCTCTATGATATGATAATTATAGCTCGCAGCTACCTAGTTTTGGTGGAAGCCGTTAAAGCTGAAGGTATGTTCGACGAGAGGGATATCCTCAATGACAGAAGCCTTGCTAACAGCCTTAGATTGCTTCTGTATTCAAACTTCCTTGCTCGGCTCAAAAACGTTCGATCGCTATCTGTCTATGACTGGAGATGATCCACTGGGTTTACCAGCACATAGGAGCAAGCCAATAGATAGCACTCCGTCGGCGAGTGTTGGTTCCCAGAGCATTAAAATTTCGTGTTGCTTGTTACGGCAACCTCACGCCCCGAAGCTGCTAAGTTTAATCTTTCAATTTGTGTTTTATCAAGCCACTTCTCGATTTCTATGGCCGGTGTATTTTCATATCGCGGAGCCACTCCTGGCTCTCAGCTCCATCTCGAGATGCAGGTGTCATGGGCCTAACACTAAGCCAAGCCTAGCCTTGTTAGTACCTGGTGGCACAACGCTTGATGAATGTCATTGGAACGGGGCGTGATCTAATTCTGCACGTCAAAAGCCACGAACTCGATAGCCTTTCGGCATTACGATGACGTGCATGCGCTAATCGACACCACTATACGTAAAGTGATAGATAACATATAATATTGATGAATCGTTTCTGATCCTAGGATTTTCGCATACCGTTCATCCTAGTGGTGTTCGTGTCTAAACTCATAGCTGCGAGGTTTTTTAGATCGACGCGTTAATCACCTCGTAGTGGTGGGGGGTGGCTGAATTCGTCTGACTTGCAATATGTATCTAATATATAATATATGTATAAAGTAACCATGCATATTGCAGTAGCTGACGACGTCATCTTCTTTAAATAGACTTCCAAGGGAAACTTAGCCCACGTGGTTGCATACTACATGTATTTTAGCATGGTGCAGCTTTGATTCTCAGATCGTAAGCACGTGGTATCAGTGAGACACTGACTTGAAGCAATCGTCTCTTTAGCAGGCTAACTGGGCTTAATCGTCCCAACCGCTATTCCACAACTTGCTTAGTAAAGTTAGAAATCTCAACTGAATTTCCTTTTGATGACTACTAAACAGCCTATGATATACATACCTGTAGACATTTTGAACGGGGTAGGCTATGCCTATTGTCCTGTAAGCAGATGTTGTTGATTATATTGTCGAAGTCTGTAAGGCCGTCTTGGTAATACAAACATTTGCATGTAAAGGAAGGACTATACCACTGGAATGGTATAATATAAAGTTTGATTTCACTCTATCTCTGAAACTGATAATTGCCCTTTAAAGTTTAACGCATTGGCCACCCCACAGATCTCCCGTCCCATCTTCTCCACTTTACGGCTTTCCAAATGCAGGGTCCGATGCTCGGTAGGTGGCTCGATTTAGTTCCACTGTCGTCATTGGTGGCTGACCACGTTAGCTGACGTTAGCTGACCTGGAAACGAAGAAATGACATGGGATCGATCCCTAAAAAATTATGACCATGTAATAATGTGGGCGGTCTACAGAAGTGGTCTGCTGCCTCTACCTCCTCCTCTCTTTCTACTCTACTCCCACACCAATGCGTCAAAACGAGGCGATCCAATTTCAATCCTTCTTCTGGCTTGGTCATTTTTATCCTACTGCCTTCTCCTCGCGCGCATCAGCAACCCCAGTAATGATACTTCTGAGTTCAACCATAGCCTCGTCACTTTCCTCGGTTCTTTGATCACAATCTTTGATCACAATCTTTCCAAATGCCGCCGGCTAAGTCAAAAGCGAATCACGACGACGCAAAGTCGGAGACGGCGAGCGTCAAAGATCGGAACGGCCACGGATCTAACCATAACCAATCGAATGGAAAACTTCGACGTGTTGGCAGTTCCACGGGCTCACAATTGCGAGACGTAACAGCCGTCAACGGCGGCTCCTCGACTGCACTAACTTCTGCGTCCCAACCAAACCACACTCCAGGGGTAAATCCCAACTAGACTATTTTACGCTACTCTTCCAAGTTAACTTACAATTGTTTCTCAATATAGTTGCAATGGCCGTCCTTTGAACGAGATGTCCTCCACGACTACCGTCGCAAATACCTCCTCCACACCCCGACCGCTTTTGCCAACCCATACCATCACTGGGTGCTTTCGCGACCAGGAATCGGCTTGCGATCGCCCACCATGGCACGAAAATTAGAATACCGACGCCAGAGCAAGGAAAACCTTACGAAGGTCGTTAGAAAACATTTCAATGCTCTCGGCGTACAAGAAACCGACGTCATTGTTGACTTTGTTCACAAGGTCAGGAACCCAGGCGTTGGGAAGATTAAGAGGAACAAAGATTTACCACACTCTTCCCCATTACCATGATACATACCTATATACCCCATGAGAGCTGAGAGCGAGAACTATTTGCCCTTCTGGATTCGGGCGTTACTTTTATTGTTGTAGATACAGCATCATCATTATCGTATCGCTAGGCTCGCATTGAGTCTTTGCATAGGTACATTTGGGTTTCTCGCATTTTTTTTGCATTATCCTGGAGTTTTAGCGCTTGGGTGGGACTCTATCACGGAGGAACAAGGGCCGACGACTATGACGAATGGGTAGCATAAAGGGACACTCCGAGGCTCTAGGATAGGGCCTCACAGGTATATAAAGGAGGGTTTTCTATTCAATTAGGACAAATACCAATTCGGGTTTGTATTATTATTGTTATTAAATAGAAGTCGTTATCTACTCCTCGTACGAAATATTTCTTATCGTAGATGATGTTTATTATTGTTTCCACTTTGTGGATACCTCTTTGGTTCCTAGCTGCCACTTTTTTGAGTTTCGCGGTTCTGCAGCGGCGTTGGACCGAACCCCTCATGCGGGATCTGAACGCGCCTCTCATTTCCCATTACTAATTAAATTGCGATTGGCCGCGCTTCTTTAAGTGGCACCGCATCTGGCGTAACTCCGAGTTCAATTCGAAAACTCAGGTGGGTAAAATGTATGCATGTTATGTACCTGCAAATTTGAATATGTAAGGGACGGAGACTATTTTGAACATTTACTTGCCTCGCCTTAAATAAAGCCATGTTAATGAGGCTTAACAGTAATAATATATTCAACCCGTCGTGCTTGACAAGGGTTGTTTAATTGATATTAATAATAGCATGGCTATTGAGACTAGTACTACATACCTCTCATAGATAGCCCGAGGTTACCTATCTACATAATTTACCCGTAGACAACGGGTTTAAGTTAGGTATATCGATAAGCCAGTAAGCCCGGAACGCTTTGTTCTGCTAGGCTGTTTTATTGCCCCATGTTTATCAAATACATATACGTAAGAACAATCGGTCCAAACCTTATATGCGAGGACATTTCAGGTTAAATATTTTTATTTATATGACTTCGATGATGATCTAGGCTGGTACATAGCACGTACAGATGTTCAAAGGTTTTTACCATGGAGAAACGGTCCAGGTACGCTTTAGAGTCTATA